AGGCAGCAGTAGGGATTGTACATACTTCTTTTGTACACAAAGGTCTGGCTTAAAGTCATGAATTGCCAAGGCCTCAGCTGTCTTTAGAAGTCTGTAACGAAGAAAACGCGGGAAGTTGGCATGAATTCTATATATGACCTTGAAATCATGGTCAGGGTTGACCGAGTGACAGGAGTCGATGAGGTGTTCTAAGATAGAGCTTCGCACACATTTCCTTTCTCCCTTGTAAAACCAAGCTGGAATATGTTCTCGTATCCGTGTGGAGAGCATTCTCTGACTACGGCCAATGTACCTTGCTCCACAAGAGCAGGTGAACTGGAAGATGCACATGGAGGCGGTCAGACGGGGGAGCTTATCTTTTACAGAGGTAGAGAACAGTTTGCGGCTCGTGAACGTCATATGTAATCTAGCTGCAGGGAACGTTTTACTAACTGATTTAGAAAGACGATTTTTGAGCATATCAGAAGCTTGATCTCCTTTGAATTACAAGTTCACGAATCGGGTTTTCTTCGGACCTGAGTCAGTGGCCAGTTTAGACTGCTTATCTTTCATGTTGCTGTCAATAAATCGGTTAGGGTAACCGTTTTCTGCAAGTGTGGCTTTCAGGAAGTCAAGTTCTGAGTCGACGCAATCAGAACTACAAATTTTCCTTATCCTAAAGCATAGTGAATGGATTAAATTCCTTTTCCTGGAAATAGGCACCCAACTGTAAAAATTAGTTAGTTGTCCGTTGTGTGTAAATTATTGAAATACAATTATAATTAATTAATATGCATACATTATAATATTAGACAAATCATATTCAGTCAGTGTCTCTCATCATTACATGCTAAGACCAATATAAAATAATCACAAACCTGGACGATACACTGTGTTGGTGAGAAATAATAAAGGCATTATTTCTGATTAAACTGATATGTACCAAACACTGTTTATATGAATGCATCAGATCATGTGAATGTGCATGGGAGGAAAATTAAGGCCTTTGACACATCCTCCGTCATGCAATCATGATATAATAAACGATATACATTCATCCGTAAAACATACTATCGTGTGCAAATAAAATTGAAACATTAAACACAAAATTATTGTTTTATATATAACGAATGATAAATCGGAATAGCTGAATATCCAAATGTTTGCAACTTTTCGATTGTTCATCAGTAAATATCTGAATTACAGCGAAAATAATAAGAATAATATTATCTTATGCATTCTTAAATTTGATTCAATTCCCTCACTGGATATAATATTTTAAAGGAAACCATTAATACACGATTCTACAGCGTGATGATGAATTCGTCAGAAGAAGTGAATTCGCTGAATACAGTAAGCGACAAGAATGCCTTCTAATTTCTCAACACTCTTCCTCATATAAAGTAGATTCCAGATGGTTAAAATATGAATTAGTGAAATTATTCTTATATTCTGGCTTACTAGAAGACTAACTAAACTGACTGGAATGCACTAAATGCTAAATGAGTAAACTACACACTCAACTGAGTATGAAATCGATTTAGAAGAGAAAAATAAACGCAAAATTGTCAACATAACTAGCTAGGAAACAAACAAACAAAGTTAACTTAATTAGACAAGATTACCAAAGGTTCACATCAGTATCACATGGCAGACATCACTCAATTTAGACTAAATGAACGCCACTCAGCTAAAGTTAATGAAATGAGAATACTTTCATAACATTCAACATAAAAGATACCGCAGAATATAGGTCAAACAGAGAAAGACGAAGAAAAGAAGAAAAAGGAATGAAAGCAGTAGTAGACTGTTAATAAACCGTGAGAGATACTGGATGAGAAAATTTGATAGCTGTTACGGAATTCTGTAGACTGGATGAAGCTACAAGTAGAACGATACTTAACTTTATACTGATATTTTTGAACAACAGAGTGCATATTTCTTTGCACTAAAAACTATCAAGTTCCAAACAGAGTATCCCTTGATTTAGGTGTAGTAATTGGCGGTGTCGCATAGATAAATCGTATAAATTTCGGAGAGAAACATGTATCTCAATGAAGTACAACATCTGAAAATCAAGCAAGCTAATTCGGTTGGGAGATATATAAACTCATTGCATCTGAATTTAACCCAAGAATCACTGGATGAAATGACCTTGAATGTATGAACTCTGTGAAGGTTTCACTTGACTGAAAGCGAAGTTACTGTCAGTCGCAAAGAAGAGGTTTCTTAACTGTTTAATGAGATGAGGTTATATGCCGAAACACGTTATTTCTCAGCCATTGATCATACAGGATTTAGTAGCTGTCTAGATTGCTTTACATGTGTTTATAAAACGATGAATTGGTCTAATAAACGGAATTTTGTAGACTGGATGAAGCTACAAGTAGAAAGATACTTAACTTTTTACTGATATTTTTGAACAATAGAGTGCATATTTCTTTGCACTAAAAACTATCAAGTTCCAAACAGAGTATCCCTTGATTTAGGTGTAGTAATTGGCGGTGTCACGTAGATAATTCGGATTATGTTGACGAATGTTTCTTTCTAACCTTGATTTTCAAATTGGGGGAAATGAGGCAGTTAAGCGTCTTTAACTACAGGCTTTGTCCTGCTGTCGTATCCAGGTGTATGTGGTTGGGGTGTCAATGGGGATTGATGTAGGGAGGGGAAATTAATCCATGTGGTTGTGAAACTGCATCAGTTGAGATGGCCAGAATACGTGTTAGGTATGTGCAGGCAACTATTTTATCATGAACATTGGATTGGATAAGACTCAGGATGCAGTAGGACCTTTGATTGTTCCGTTTGACCTATGCAGTCAAGTGTAGACTGATTGTATACGGTCTTGATCATTTCACTTTGAAATGAAAGTGGACGTTTCAAAGATGGCTTCCGAATCCAGCCAGTTCAGAAACCTCTTCTTTGCGACTGACAGTAACTTCGCTTTCAGTCAAGTGAAACCTTCGACAGAGTTCATACATTCAAGGTCATTTCATCCAGTGATTCTTGGGTTAAATTCAGATGCAATGAGTTTATATATCTCCCAACCGAATTAGCTTGCTTGATTTTCAGATGTTGTACTTCATTGAGATACATGTTTCTCTCCGAAATTTATACGATTTATCTATGCGACACCGCCAATTACTACACCTAAATCAAGGGATACTCTGTTTGGAACTTGATAGTTTTTAGTGCAAAGAAATACGCACTCTATTGTTCAAAAATATCAGTATAAAGTTAAGTATCGTTCTACTTGTAGCTTCATCCAGTCTACAGAATTCCGTAACAGCTATCAAATTTTCTCATCCAGTATTTCTCACGGTTTATTAACAGTCTACTACTGCTTTCATTCCTTTTTCTTCTTTTCTTCGTCTTTCTCTGTTTGACCTATATTCTGCGGCATCTTTTATGTTGAATATTATGAAAGTATTCTCATCTCATTAACTTTAGCTGAGTGGCGTTCATTTAGTCTAAATTGAGTGATGTGTGCCATGTGATACTGATGTGAACCTTTGGTAATCTTGTCTAATTAAGTTAACTTTGTTTGTTTGTTTCCTAGCTAGTTATGTTGACAATTTTGCGTTTATTTTTCTCTTCTAAATCGATTTCATACTCAGTTGAGTGTGTAGTTTACTCATTTAGCATTTAGTGCATTCCAGTCAGTTTAGTTAGTCTTCTAGTAAGCCAGAATATAAGAATAATTTCACTAATTCATATTTTAACCATCTGGAATCTACTTTATATGAGCAAGAGTGTTGAGAAATTAGAAGGCATTCTTGTCGCTTACTGTATTCAGCGAATTGACTTCTTCTGACGAATTCATCATCACGCTGTAGAATCGTGTATTAATGGTTTCCTTTAAAATATTATATCTAGTGTAGGAATTGAATGAATTTTGGGAATTCAGAAGATAATAATAGTATGAAATGCAAACCAAATATTGTGACCGTAATTTTATTTGTATGTCAAGTGAACAAACATAGAATCTATGCCTATATGTATATTTTTTGTGGATAGATATTGTATAAGGATTTGTATAAAAATTATTTTGTTATGCGAAGAAAGGATCATGGAAACCTCGAATTAACCTTGTTATCGAGGGTTGCAATGTGGTATCCATAAACCAGATAATGAGGATCACAGTTGGTATGACGTGGTGGATATGTGCTGTTGAATCCCCATATTCCACAAGCAACTAGAAGGAACAGTAATTGAATAGTCCTTTCACTTCATACAGTCTTAATTTCTTCCTTATATATTCCTAAGTCGAATGTTTGTCTTATCGAACTCCACAAAGTATGTTTTGTCAATACATTACACAGTTGAAATCCATCGCCTGTTCTAATTGTTTTGTCGAAATTCATAAACGCTACGAATTTTTTGAAATCGTAATTTATCCAAAGATAGATTTTGTCACTGATTGATATTACTTAGAGCATCAGTCTCATCAATGGTACACATCTGTGATCCTATGATGCAGGGTTTTCAAGATTTTAACTATTGTGTTGAAATCCATTTACTCATAAATTCTTATTTCTGTCTTTTTCGATTTATCGTCACTGTCAGCTAATCTCACATCTTAACACCTTCCCTAACATCCCCATAGTGAAACCTGAAGAGAATCAAGTTACTCACTACAAACTAATCCTTGAGGAATCTACTCACTTTGAAGTATTTATCAGTCTATTTTATGCGAAAGAATTGGTTGATTCGCCTTCACATGGATGATGAATATGGACAGCAACAATGACCGTAAATCGATAAAGTGTTTTTTTTTTCTGTAACCAATGTACTACTGACTAATTTTATATGTTAGCTATTATGCTGTGTTACTTGCCAAATGTAGATGCATCATTAGATAGGTGAACACAAAAGTGAGATACACATATGTACACCATATACATACATAATGTGTGTTCATACATAACTATAAAAGGGCTTTATATGAGAGGTTTAATCATAAAAATATTTCGCAGGAGTTAATAGTCATAACAAACACTGACGAGAGATTTCCAATCATGCGAAATTCGTTACTTAAAGCATCAATTTGCCTTCTGCTTCTATTATCTAACAATAATGCAACTAATGAAAGTAAGTTGATCATTATTCCTTTTTTATAACTTGTCAAAATACTCAACTGTACACTGTCTCCGCAGCTGGATTTACTCCTACTATTTCTCTATGCTTTAGCCTACTATCCAATTGGATAATACATCTGATGAATAAGCTTTGCACTGGAAGTATTCTGTGCTGCTTAACATCAGGCTTACTGGTGATTTCCTTTCCCATCCTCATACGCTCTGTCTTACGAATGTACATGTGAAACAATACCGATGCCTGGAAATATGTGAGAATACATTCACCGATTAAAACCATGTACTGATGGACAGAAAGGTAATGAAACAGACAAATGCAACTATAAACAGACACATACATATACACAAATGTAGACATAAAAAAATATCATTAATATATATATATATATATATTCATCGAAGATTGGGAATCATATGCAGTTCGCACCCACTGGGGTTCGAACTTGGGGCCTTGCGCTTATGGGGCAAGTTCGTGGACCATTCAGCCACAAGGACATAACTCATCAACCACTGCAAGAATTCTTACTTCTACCTAATCTTGATTAAGCGCGACCACAAAAAGAATGTCATTGGTGGGACATTAATCCCCACACTTGACTGGATGGACCTTTCCGGTTGAGACTTCCAATTAGAACTATACACATATAAATAGTGAAAGTTATGCAGAGATAAACATATACACATGTACAAATATATTATATATATATATATATATATATATACCGATCCTCGCTTTGATATCATCGTCAGTTTCGCCTGTATTTCAAATTATCCTCCCCAGGTAAACTGAAGTAGGTTGCTTCTTTTAGATTTCTCCTACCTATACTGATTGTTGTCTGCTGTTGTTGCTCTTGCTGTTGGCCGAGGATCTTCATCATCGGTATCTTTCTGTGTTTACCTGAAGGAAGTTCTATCTATGATGCATGTTCTGCCAACTTGTCACTCTTCAGCTGCATATCTTGCAATTTGTGGGAAATCAGATCCTCCAGGATTTTTGTGTGTGTCCATTTAATGTCTGTTTCCCTCCACCCGCTGTCTGTCGAATTATCCAGTCTACCGCAATAAGGAAAATCACTGAAGATAGTAGGCAGCAAGCCAGCCTTGTCTTACTCCTATTTTCACTTCTTCGAGGTATTCCGTGAGTTTCCGTTGTGGATTACTTGGCATGCATCATCGTCGTACAACTGCTGGATGAGATGTATGATTGTTGGCGGCATCGCGTAATAGAGAAGTAGTTGCCAAATCGCCTCTCGATCAACGCTGTCAAAAGCCTCTTCAAGGTCAATGAAGTTGAGATAGAGAGGTTACTGCTATTCCAAGCTCTGTTCAATGATGATCCGTGGAGTTGCAATTTGATTGATGCAAGATTTGTTCCTCTTGAACCAAGCATGTCCCTTGCCCTCCTTCCACAGCTTCTCCAGTAGTGATTTTATCAGGTACACTGATGTCTCTGAGTCCGTTTCAAAGCTTCTGATGCGATTTTATCTGGTCTTGTTGCTTTCTCTGTTTTTAACATCCCGGTTGCCTTCAGGACTTCTGATTTCGTCGGGGTGTTGATGTGCATTGGTGGCGGTGCTGTTTTCACTGTTGATATTATTGTGCGCGTTGTAAGTGGCGGTCGATTTAGAAGTCTTTTGAAGTGTTCAGCCCATTGGTTCCTTTTCTCTACCTCTTTGGTGATTGCCTTTCCATTTTCATTCTTCACTGACTGGAATTGTATTGATCTCATCTGCGATAGGACTCTAGTTGTTTGGTAGAGTGTTGCTAGATCTCCTTTGCCTGCACTGCAGCTTGTTCTGCATCATTTGCCATGGCTTCACAATATTTTCTTTTGTCTTCCCTGGCACTCTTCTTTACTCTTTTGTTCAGTATATTGTATCTTGCATTCAACTCCTGTTTTTGTTGCACGTCGATACGCTGGATAATCTTTTGTTTCACCATCTTTCTCTCTCCTTCTAATCTCCATGTGTCCATAGTGAGCCACTGTTTGTCCCGTCTCTTCTTTCTGCCTAGAACTTCCATGCTTGTTTGGCTCCACACCGTTTTCAGGTCATCTCAGGCTTTTCAACGCTGATCTCTTCGCTAGTGTTGACTTGTGTCTCGGATTTTTTCCTTATGTTTGTAGTGTAGATGTCTTTTGTATCTTGATCATTCAGTTTTTGAGTGTTGAACTTGGCTTGTGCTCTGTCTGCAGCTCCTGTTTCCCTGGAAGTCTTTAATTTGTTTTGGAGGGTTCTTTCTACGAGACAGTGGTCTGAGCCGACGTATGCTCCTCTTCTTAATATTGTGTCCAGTAAGCCCAGACTCCACTTCCTTAAGCAGCATTTGGTTTTCGCTTCGCCCATCTGGTGACACCCATACAGCCTTGTGGATATCTTTGTGCTTGTATATGCTGCCAGCAATCTCTTGTTCACTACAGATGCAGAAGTTGGCACATATTTCGCCATTTTCATTTAATTTTCCGAGAGCTTCTCTATCCATGATGATTTACCTTCCTACGTTGTCTGGTTCCAGTTTGGCGTTCATGATTTCCATTTGTGTTTCAATGTCAACGACTGGAGTATTGTCCATTGTCGCCTGCAGTTGTCTGTTTAACTGTTATTTGTTTTCGAGGTCTGTGTTATTTGTGGGTGCATGGCATTGTTTAACTGACACTTTCCTTCCTTTGGCCTTGAATCTGGCAGGCATTATGCTGGGCAAGATCGCCTCCCATTGTACCAAAGCCTTCGGTGTTGATGATGATAACATGGCAGCCACACCCTCATTGTGTTTTAATTGTATTATGAGTGACTGAACTAGTTTACTGACTCTTCTGTTGACGATATATTGAGCCCATCTGCTCACATATATTCCCAGGAATTGAAGAGCATGTCATTTTATCTCACCAGCTTTGAATAAAGCATTAAAAAGAAAAATTTCACGAGATGATATCACTTCGTAGTCTCTTTACAACCGCTTTACAACTAACATGGTTAACAATGATAAAATGAAGTTCATGACAATTGCTCAGTTAAATAAAAAAACAAAAGTACATACTAATGACCAGTCATATTTAAATAGGTCATGTTGTCCAGGGTAGGTGAAGATTGAAGTCCATTGTTTTTGTACACACAGTTTAGGCTGTATGTGATGTACCATTCAAAGGCGGCCATATTATGCAGTTGACAGCTCAAAGACTTTGGTCAGCCATCAAAGGTACATTCTACGCCGCATGTCTTATTCTCATTTGCTGAACATTTTTGATCCCTGTACCTACGATTAAAGGACGAAATCCTGTAGACTCTACCGCAAACTGTATCTACACGTTCACCTGCAGCTGCGATGACATCTATATAGTTAGAACCAACAGAATGTTCCAATGTCTTCGGAAAGAACATGTTCCAAAATGACTATTAAATCATATCGAAAATCCCAATGCGATTAATCTGAATAGAAATCCAGCATCATCCATTGCAAAACACTTATTAATTTCAGGTCACAAAATCAGTATTAATGACTGTTTCACAATTATTTCACATAACTCTAATTCAAGGTTACTGAAGGTGATGGAAGCACTTTGGATTAATCACATACAGCCTAAACTGTGTGTACAAAAACAATGGTCTTCAATCTTCACCTACCCTGGACAACATGACCTATTTAAATATGATTGGTCATTAGTATGTACTTTTGTTTTTTATTTAACTGAGTAATTTTCGTGATCTTTATTTTATCATTGTTAACCATGTTAGTTGTAAAGCGGTTGTAAAGAGACTACGAAATGATATCATCTCGTGAAATTTTTCTTTTTAATGCCTTATTCAAATTTATCAAAGGGACTAATTGCTTTTATTCGCAGAAGCTTTGACAGTTTAGTACATGGTGGGGACGTTCCATTACCCTACATAGACGTTTTCTTTTGTCGCGAGGAGGCTGATCGTGCTGAAATTTCTGTAGTAGTTCTTTCACAAGGTTGCTAGGTTCACTCCTCAGAAGGAGGCTGTTGCACGAATATATGGGTTACTCAAGACAGATAGATAAAGTGGTATATACATAATAGGATAATAGTACTGACAGGGAAATACCTACATGCAAACGTACATACATAGACAGATAGTCAGAAGTCATTCAGACATGGCTATGGCTACATCGATAGATAAATAGAGGGATGGATATTTAAACGTAGAGAAACTGAAATATGTATTTAAATATATATAGAATTAGATAGTTACATAAACAGACTGATAAGTATATGCACATTCACATGGAATGACAGACATATTGATAAATAGATGAACAGGTGGATAGATGGATACCGATTTGCTCGATTTCGTTAGTCTCAGTGATGTTAAAAGAGAATATGTGAGTCGACTTTATTATTGTAGAGCAGTGTGTTTGCATGAACGGCGATCTGCATTATGATTCTATTTGTATTTGCTGAAAGAACGTCCTGTCTTATCAAAATTTACCAAATATTTCTGTGTTTTGATTTCAGATTTCGACTACGACGACGATAGCGAATGTAAGTTTGTGGTGTTTTGCAGGCCAATAGTATTTTTCAGTCTTCATGGGGTGCTATTCGCACCACGCTTATTTCTTACTCACTCACTCGCTCCCTCAGTCAGTGACAATATCAGATGTCGATGATTTAGTCAATTGTTTCATTTGATAGGCAAATACGCAGATAGATATGTATATAGGTGCAGTGATAGATAGATAGTTAGTTAGACAGACTATTTAATTGATAGTCATAAATATATATGTGGATAGACTGATAGATAGTTAAATATAGAAATGGATGAATAGTTGTACAGATTATTGGATAGACAGACAGATATATAGTTAGGTAGTTTCCTAAATATTTAGGTAGACTGACACCTAGATATTTTTATTATTCCCTTGAGCTCAGAGTGGAACATAGGGCTTCAACAACACATCTCCACTTTTTCTGTTTTCTGCCATCCTCTTCAGCTTGATCCATGATACGAACAAACTCTCTCATCTCTTCCGCACACAATCTCCTCCATGTCACCCTCACACTGGAGACCCATTCGTAGCTTCCCAACGGGATTCGACTCAAGCACTGGTCTGGCGCGTGATGTCATTCGGTGGCCTCCTCAATGCATGTCCGACCCATCTCCACTTTCTATTGGTTGATTTGTTCCACTGAAGAGTTTCTTGTTCGTAATTCTTTCTGGACATTTGACTTTCACAATGGAATTAGCGAATGTGGTAGCTGTTAATGAGAGACTGAGACTCGTTGGAAATCATTTTCGTGACACACTTGCCAATTTTTTGACTCGTATAGGAGAACAAACTGACTGACTTCAGATTTGCGTTGAAAATCCGAGTCTTGTTCTCTACGCTGGTTGAGTGAATTAGAAGATTTCCAAACTGGTTTCAGGTTGATGAATGCGTATCTTGACTTTCTGATACCAAATTGGACATCCCCATTCATTCCGCCTGTATTTGAAACGACGCTTCCCAGATAAGTGAAGGAGGCGACCTCTGTCAAGTCTCTCCTGTTGATGGCGATTGGTGCTGGCTGTCGTTGCTGTTGGTTGATTATCTTCTTCACCTCCTTCATCTCTTTGTTCACCGGCAGTCCTGTCTTCGCTGCCTCTTCAGCCAGTTAATTGGTTTTCGCTTGAAAGTCCTCGAGTTTGTGTGACATTACACATATATCATCTGCGAAATCCAGATCTTCCAGAGTCTTCTTATCAGTCGTCCCGCGTATTCCTGTTTTCCCACTCCCCTTTCACTGTCTGGCGCATAATCCAGTCCACCACAATTAAGAATATCACAAGGGGTGATAATAGTCAGCCACTTGGTCTTACCCCTGTGTGCACTTCGAAAGCTTTGCTGAGTTTTGCGTTGCGAATCACTTGATATGTGGCACTGTCAATTGGTTAGCTGTTGAAGGAGGTTTGAGGTACGCCATAGTGTTTAAGAAGTTTCCGAATTACTTCTTGATCAACGCTGTCGAAGGCCTTTTCGAAATCGACGAGGTGAGGTACAGGTTTCGCTGCCATTCTGCGCTTTGTTTGATGACGATGCGTAGAGTAGCGATTTCATCAACACATGATTCGCCCTTCCTGAATTCAACTTGTTCCGCTTGGGCTGGCGGAGTTCCATATCCATTGCATCCTTTATTCTCTCCAGAATGATACGACCTAATATTTTACTTGTTATGGACAAGAATATTATTCTACGTCAGTTCTTGCACAAACATAGTTTGCCGTTCATTGGCAGTTGAGGAGGTAGTCTTTCTTCCAATCATTAGACACCATTCCTTCTTTCCAACCTTTCTGCAGTATTAACGAGGAAAACATCTGCCAGAATCTATGGGGTCGTCTTCAGCGATTTAGGGAATGTCGTCCGGTCCTCCTACCTTCGAGGCTGAACTTCAGTTGCTTGTTCGGATTCAGGATTTCGTCTTTCGTTGGAGGAGTGGTGTCCACTGACATTTCCGTGTTTGCCGTTGGTGGTATTTCTAAGCGAGTTGCCGGTATTGGTCGATTCAAAAGTCCTTTAAACTGATCAGACCATTGTTTGATTTCTAACCTCTCCTTCGTGATCAGCTTCCCTTGAGCATATTTTGTTGGTTTCATCGTCTGTGTTGATCTCTTCCCGGATATAGACTTGGTTATCTGATAAAGTACCTTGATTTTTCTTTTGCATGCGGCCTGTTCTGCTTCAGTTACCTAGCATTGTGTCGTATAATTGTCGTTTATCTTTTCTAGCACTCTTATTTACTCCTTTATTCAGTGCAGTGTACATCGGACTCAGCTTCCCCTTTTCTTGTCTATCTTTAAATTGAATCATCTTCTATTGCACCAATTCTCTCTTCTCTCCCCGATCAGCTTCTAGGCATCCGTCGACAGCCATTCCTTGGCTTGTCTCCTCCTTCTTTCTAGAACAGTTGTACACATTCCCTAAAATATCGATTTCAGAGAGTCCCAGTTTTCTTCCACACGTGTCTCCTCAGTGATGGCGCGTAGTGAGTCGAACGTTGCTGTGATATCCGCAGCTAAGGCGTCCCTTGCAGTTATGACTTTCGGGTTCTGAGTGTTGAACATGAATTGTGGTCTGTCTCCATTTGTTTGCATGATTTTCAGCTTCACCTTGAAAGTCTCTTGTACCAGACAATGATTCCAGCCCACATCTGCTCCCCTTCTCAAAGTAGTATCAAGCAGGCAGGCTGCATCTCAACTTCCTTGAGCAGCATTGAAATGAACTCTATTTTGTCTGTCAGTCAGGTGAAAAGTGCGTCGGTGGCACAGTGGTTAGGACTCTCGCCGACGATGCACATGGTCCGGGGTTCGAGCCCACGCCGGCGCACACCTGATATCTATGGTCGGCCTGCAAAATTTGGGCTACCGATACCATATGCTGAAAATTCCATACTTGTACCAAAAATACAGTGTGGAAACAAGCTGTAATTCAGAAAAAAAATCCATGTTGCTTTGTGTATATCCTTGTGCTTGTTTACGTTTTCTGCGATCACTAGATCATCGAAAGCACAGACGTTTGCGAATAAGTCTCATTCATTTCACCCAGTGAGTGCCGCTCATCACATGATGCGTTCTCTTCTTATTTTATCTGCTCCCAGTTCGGCATTCATAACGTCCATAAGGATTTTGACGTAAAAGCCTTCCTTCTTCTCTTGTTCCGTGTTGTCTGTATCACTGTGCGTAGCACTGGATAATTGTAGCCTTCCCTCCCTCATTTTGAGTTGAATCTTGCTGGCACGATCTTGGATGACATTGGTTTCACTGCATTGAGGCTTTCTCTGCCACTGGTGACATCATTATAGCCACTTGCGGCTTCAGTATGCTAGTGGTTGTCATCTGAGTGTCCAGACAGGAGTCTATTACTGATTCGTCAGTTGACAACTTTCCTAATCCACTTTCATCTCAGATACCAAGCACTTCTACGCCATATCTTCTCATTTTTCTGGCTACTTAGACAGACTTTTTTAGCCTCCTACATTGAAGGGATATTCCATGCCTCCATTCGTATTCTTGCTTTCATCGAGATAGCGAAGACACATTGGCTGGCTGACGGGCTTGTTGAAAGCTGGCTTTCACCAGCCCGAGTCATTTCGCCTGTCCGTTCCATGCGAAGAATAAGATTGTTGTTATTGTGGGTTTTTGTGCTTTTAATATATTATCTGCGTGTTAAGGTTTCTCTGGCGTTTTAAAAGATTTAGTGGTGTGAAGCTGCTAGCTCCACGCCAAACCCTCCTTCTTAACTCGGGCTTGGGACCGGCCAGAAAACCAGTGGTCCGGTTAACTAAACGAGGTTGACATTAAAATATAATATAAATTTATGTTTAAATATTTATTTATAGATGGATAAATACATATACAGACACAGAGATGCATGTAAAGATGCATATATAAATATATACATATATGTATATAGATTGATGAATTGATACCATAATTGCTATGGTTTTGAACAATAAATTGTGTACAAAACAGCATCCAGTAAATAATACTGTTCCACTGCGTGATATGTATAATGAACACAAATAATGTATGCGTCAGTGACACAACTGTTAGTACGTTCTCCGACCGTGCATGTCATCCGGAGGTCAATCCCCGGCCGTCGCACACCAGATGGCAATAGTTGGCCTGCTAAATTTTGGTAACCTAAATTATATGCTGAAAATTCTACACTTGTAACAAAATACTGTGTGGAATAAAACCGTTATGAAATAAATAAATAATAAAATAATGAAACAGTTAGACAGATAGCAATTTTCATGGATTTATTCTTGTCAGTGAACTACGGAAGAGTTTGTAGGACTGTTGTCTAATTTAGTCCTGTGTGTCATAGTGTATCACACTGTATTTGAATAAACGACGATTTGCAGTATGATTCCATCTGAAAAAACGTCCTCTCTCATCAAAGATAATTTAATATTTCTGTGTTTTAAATTCAGATTTTGACTACGACGACGTTAGCGAATGTAAGTCTGTGGTGTATTGCAGGTCAATAGCATTTTTAACAGTCTTCATGGTACGTTATTTGCACCACGCCTAAATGTCAGTCATTTACTCACTCATTCACTCCCTCACTCAGAGACACTGTAAATCACTCATTGACAATATCAGACCTCGATGATTTCGTCAATCGTTTCATTCCATATGTATGCAGCGAAATTGTTTGTGTTTTCTTTGAGGTGTGATTGAGTGGTGCAGTATAGGATAAATGTGCATGAAATTACAAAAGAATCGGCGCCTGCTGTTACTCGCTCACATATTATTACTCAATCGCCCAGTGTCAGACACTATTTAAACATTCAACATGATGTCAGTTGTCGTCATCACATAGGTTTATCTCACTGTATAGTACACGCGCTTATTTATCATTGAGAATAAGCGATTTGATTTGCAATCTAACATTTCTCTAGGTTTCCATATTGGTTGTGAATCACTCTGAGAGGAATTCGGTGTTTTCGAAGATTGATGTAATATTTGTAGGTATGGAGATTTGTGAGATGACAGGACTGAGTACGGGTTTCTGTTGGTTGAAGTAGATGTTGGTCCTATTATTAGCAGGTCACGAAATGCCGTTACATAAAAAGCATAGAATAATTCCTTAAGTTATGTTCTACTTCGATTTCGCGAAAGTCAACTAACAATATGCGTGAGAGCATCGTGCGTTTCCAGTACATAAGTGACTGGTTAGGACAATGAGAATTAGAGAGTGTAAGATGCAGTGTGTACGGTGGAATTCCAGGCAGTCCAGTGACTCATGCGGGCCACCACGTTTGATGATCATCATTTGCGCTGATCCGTGTGCATTTTCCTTCCTATACCAACTTGTTTACTCAGTCAGTGCAACTTCCAGATGTTTGTGATCGGTGTGCTTAATCTTAACAGCAACCACTTTAATCTCATTTGAGCCATTTTTTCCTTTTCATTTTCAGTTGATGAAAACGAGTTTATTTCTTACTGTGAGGGTTTGCTATCGTTTGTTACAGTGATCTCTACTTTGCAATGGATTTCTTACTGACAGTCTATTAATATATGTTGGGGACGGTTTTGTGGAATATTTCCTATTGCTTTGCAAAAAGTATGTTTTATCCTAAATGGTGTAGTGAAATGTTAGCTTCATTTCTGCTTATCAGATTCTCAGTCTGCTGCTCATTTCCCAGCATGATATATTCATCTGTTGTTTAGTTTTCGTTCACACTGATGTCACAATATTTTGTAGTTTATGCCTCACATTCTACTTGCGACCGTAATAGGCCCCAGCTCACAATAGCCACTGGTGGCAGGTTTTCTGCACTTATGTGAATAATCGTTGTAAAGACATTCAGATGCATTCGACTGATTGTCTGTTGTAAATATGAAGCTTCGATTTCCGGCGAACTACAGCATACATTGCTACCACTGCTGCGTGTTAGAAGTCATTCATTCATGGGGCGAATTTCACCAAAACTCAGAATAGCATCATTGTATTGTTAAATAACCAATAACACCACGATTATTTTCGGATGCGTAGGGATCTTCTGGCAAATTTAGTATGTAAAGGCAGTTTTACTTCGAAGCAGTTGGATGGACCAAGTTATGCTTTAAGCCCCAGTAACTACCTTCAGATCGCAACCGGACCAGTGACCTTGAAACACTCACTGAGCAAGGTGGCAAAACCTGAAAATAATGATGTCATCATCAATAAAACATGCTCATCGAATTTGTATTCTATTAAATGGGATATCTGGGAATTTTCAGCTTAGGTTTGAAGAAAATTAAGTTAGGCTTTAAAGCAAGGGCTAATTAGGGTAAGGTCAACCTAATTAAGGTGACTTAAGGTTGGTTCGAGACCTGAATAAATGCATGCATATAATGTGGTTAAATTACTCTGTTGTTTTAAGAATATAATTTGTGCACTGTGGCGGTAGACTATAATTCCATTGTGGGTAAAATTGATTTTGACGAAGTCGTTCAGTGTTATACAGTAATATTTATTGATGACGTTACAAGCACAATTTATTGCTCAGGAAATATTACTGTACTACACTACGACAATTTATCAAGGTAAATTTTAACCACTGTGTAATTATACTGTTGATACTCCAACCTAAAACTGAGAGTTTCCATCACATGTGAGAGCAGTATCCTGTAACACTTTTCTACAGCTTGGCTGTTAGCGTTGCTTAAAGTTTAACTTTTCCGTTGAATGTATTGTGAGATGAGTGTAACTTCTGACTAGGGAGATTTTTGTTGTCAGTTTACGGACTTCAGAAATAGTTGAATCCGCCAGCTATCTGATTTCTTATATCACGTCTTCAACAAGAAGCAGTTAGCCGCATTCTAATTCATCATACAGGAGAAGTTTATTATTTATTGTATGGCTTACTTAGTATATTATGTAGACTTAATTAAATAGCCCCAGGGAAATATTTTTCTCTATTTCAGATGATCCGAATTCAACACTAGGCGCATACGCAGATTCATACTGTGAGGCTATGAATTCTAAATGTAGGTGTTGATTTCACTTAAAAATTATTTTGAAGTTGTCTCTTGGCTTTAGACTGTTCTATAATGATCGGTGTTCACTTCCTCCTACTACTCATATCGCTTGCGTTGATTCGTAGAAGGCTAATCACCAAATTCAATCACTGACAATACTGAGTAGCTTTTAAAAATCTCTTTTGCAACTGTACGTCTCCACTGAATTTCGAGGAAACATATTTCTCATGTCAGCAGATGTATGCAATGTCACCTGAATGTAACAACGTGCAAATCTTTATTGCAAAGTAGAGCAAGAAACTGGTGCTTCGACGTGAGTGATATTGCTTCAACTATTTCAGGAAACTTGTTAATTTCTTGAGAGAGTAGTTTGTTTGCACGTGGATATTACAGACTGAGATGAGCTGAATACCAGTTGGATGCTAATGTTGATGAGACTCCAAGGACTACTCACTTAGTACTGTTTACTAGTAGATTGTGCGAAAAATATATATAGGTTTATCTGTAGGTGTGTCGATAATGCACAGAAGCCAGCCACACTTCATGAATAATTAGTTACACGAAGACAGAAGGTGAACATTTAGTCTATCAGAACTTTTGGTCAATCATATAAGAATCTACATACTACATACTTATTTCCACCGTTTGTTCGTTTAGTTCTTATGACTGAACTTCAGACATACGTTGATCCCCAGAATGCGGAAGAAACAATAAAGCCCGGTGAGTAATTTTATCAAGATATCTGCATGGCTGCAAATAAATTCGAGCCATAAATATGTGTTCTGGTCCTTTTCCGATCAATGGGTTATGTTGTATTTCATGCAATCTTATGAATCAGAGATGCACAGTTGTGATCCCTTTGAGGATGACTAAGTATCTCGTTAGTTTGTCATCAAGTGACAAAGATGGAATGTACCTTCCGGTCTATGTATGATAAAATCCATGATACGAGAATAAGGCTGACTGGTTGTGATGGCTGAAATAATTCATGTTTAAAGTGTGACACGAAACATTTCGGATCAATAGAGACTCCTTCACCTTCCTACTCATACTGCTAAGCGAATTATCACTGCTTTTTGGTGATGTGAAGCATATAACTGAAAGCCAAAGTCCCACTGACTGGCTCCACAACTGCCCAATTAACTTCCATTTTACGTAGACATAATCTCCAGTATGGCATGACAGCTCACCTCCTCATGTGTCATTCATGTCGTACCAACTGTCAACGGTCTCCCCAACGCATTTATCATCCAATTTCGTTTCCGGTTGCATATTTGTTGGTCAGTAGGTCCAAGATTGATTCATACGTCGACATTGATTTGACATTAGTTTTGCAGACCCAGATCTCGTTCCTTATAAACCCATTTACAGATGTGAAAGCGATGGAATTCTGTCTTGCATTGTGGACCACAACTGACTGCGATATTCCCACGCCTGCTGCTATGTGTAATTGAAACAATGCTGCCTGGATAAGTATGAGAAATGACTTTTTTCGCGTATGTGCCGTTGGCTGGTAAGTTGTGCTCATCACCTCTCTTTTCTCTACTGACCTGAAGATGTATCTTCTCCGGTTGCTTCTTCTCCCAACGTGTTCGTCTACACCTGCATATCTGCGAGTTTATGTGACATTAGAGAAAAACCATCGGTGAAATTCAAACCTCCTTGAGTTGGCTTTTTGAAACAACGTTTGACCATCCTCTTGTTGTTCATAGTCTGTTACACGACTCAGTCAACCGCTACCAGAAATACCATCGGCGTACAGCATCACTGAGCGTTCCGTTGTGGATCTCTCGACATTTGCCATATTCATGTAGCTGTACGTTGCACTGCACTCCGTAGTTTGGAATACTTCCGAAGGTCTTTTCAAAGTCCATGAAGTTGAGGGAGATATTTAAATATAACCCTGTACTCTCTTTAATGATGAAGCAAAGTGTTGCGATTTGATCCGTTCATGAATTGACTTTTCTGAGTCCAATTTGTTACTGGGGGTTTAGCATTCGGCCAATCATTTGGATCCTCCAAGATGATACAAGCTAGTATTTTTCCTGGATTAGGTAGAAGCATGATTCTCGTCCTTCTCTTGCAAAGGCAAATGTCGCCATTCTTTGATAGTTTAACAAGGTACTCTGTACTTTTGGCAAGCATGTGACCTACCTTCAACCAAAACACCACGTACTAGTTTTGCAGGTATATCCGTTGATGTACTTCAAAACGAACTCTATTTGCTTCTGTCGCATTTCGGACTTCAGTACTATTAAAGTCTTCGAAATATTTGACTTTGTTGGATGATTGGTGTTCACTGAGACTATTGTTCCTGCTGTTGATGGTATCTCTGAGCAATTCGCATGTGGTTTTTTTCAGAGTTTACGTGATTTTTTTCTTTTCTACTTAGCATCCCTTTGCTGGGCTTCACTGGTTTTATATGATATAGTATTCTTAGGTTTTCTTCCCTGAGAATATTCTCCTTCACTTGCCAATATTTAGCATCTGAAGGTCTTCTCTATTTTACGTCCAGCATGCTGATTCGTCACATTCCTGGCATTGTGATGGAAATATCTGATATTGGTGTGTTTAAGTGATGAAACATGTCATTTTGTGCATGTTATATTGACACCTTAAACCAACAACTAAGTGAAAGCACAAAAGTATGTGAACGATCCGCCGTCCTCACTATTTCCACCTACAACATCTAGACACGAAGGCTAGCCTTCCCTTCTTGTTTGTTCCTATTTTTGCATTTTGATTTTTCCATTTAGTGTTGTCTACTTTACTATTTGCAGTTATCTGTAAAATTCTTCCCTCTCCTGTTGGTCCACGTTACTTTTAGAAGGACGGCACTAAAATCCGATCTGTTTTAATTGTATGTGTGTTGTGTGTTTGCGATTAAATGAAGCCTAATTTAAATCGTTGGTGGTATAGCGGTTAGGACGCTCGCCGACCATGCATATGGTCCGGGGTTCGACCCCCGGCCGGCGCACTCCTTTACCTCACTGAGCCAGAAATAATCCTGGTAAAGAGGAAAGGTTGGGCATGAGGCTAGCAACCCCATCCTGTAAAAAAAAATTAAACACTGCTACAGAAACTTCAAGCCACTAACTTGGAGCCCTATGTTCCACTGGGAACGTGAAGGAAAAATTATTATTTTATTTTATATTATTAATTTAAATCGAACGTCAAAGGAGAAAACAGTGTGGATTGCTTTTGCTGGAAGAAATTAGGACACCAAAGTGTCACTACTATTTGCGAAGTGGAATCACTGCACATAGGCAATACTAATAGGTTATGCATAATGGATCATGATAACGAAACTGCAGTCAGAAAAACTTACAGTGGAAAATAAACGCAATTACATATTTTATGTTGAACACGAACGTCCAAACGAATGACAAGAAAATGAATAAACAAAGTATCAGATGCATGTGTAGAACAACATTCTGGTTTATGAATCGTAAGATGGATACGAATTGTTTCACAGAACTCCTTATTCATTCTATCAAATCTCATATATTCCAGTACCTACTCCTTCAGTAACTTAAACAGTAGTCAGCCTTTCCATCAATGTCATAATCCTTGGAAATAACAGTGATCTGACAGGTATTCATTCAACCATTCTCAATTACCTGATTTTCAAACACGGAAGACTTTCGTCATTGAAAGGTTTCAAAGTAGTGAACGTAGGCATGAAATTCCACCTACTGGTGACTTTCAAGCTGAGTATACTTAAATAAAGGAGTAATAAACTAGATAGGCATAAGTGTGCTGCTGACTGTTCAGGTTTACTCACAGTGCACAACACACAGATGATCTATCTTTTCACAAAAACCTACGACCAATGAATGTTGTTCTAAAACGTCTACAACATGCAGGACAAACAACTAGGAAAAGATTAGTTAACTTGAACATGAGAGAGTGCAGAATTACATAGATGAACGGCAAATGGAGAATGAGAAATGGATGCACAGCATCATTTTGCTGGTCAAAATTCTCTCAAAAAAAACCGTTTTGCCTAACATAACGACAAGCACTAATATTTCGTTATTTTCACTTTAAACAGAAATCCTGAGACTTGAACACTTATATCAGACAAGATGGGCGAAGGAATTTCTCGAATGTAAGTCCTGTCATCCACTCACTCAATTCTTCGATGTCCTTGGAATGAACTGCTCGTTGAATAGTAACATGAATTTTCACTGAAATGAATTGCAGTGTCATCGGAGATGACCAAAGAATTCAATTACTAGACGAATAAATTACTAAAAAGAGTATTTTTGAGAGTGGTCTTCAGATGTCAGTAGCACAGAAAATTCTGTCAACAGACATTCTGCAAGATTTTATGGAGATACCTCGAGTTGAGGAATGAACTTAATGCGCACATTCGGCAAAGTATTCCAGTACACATCTTTTCTATACGCATAGCATTAAATATTGATTTATAATATAAACGGTGAATAAATTGGGCCATCTTCAGAACGAATGTCATTGATTAACCTTTCAACATTCTTTTCAATGCAAAAACAATAATGTCAGGCGGATAAGTTTTCTAACGCCTAAAACAAGTTGCTATGTACTTAGTACGAAAACGAACAGCTCCTGTGTTTAGTTTTGATTTGCTGTAATTTTAACATCTGGCAAACCCTGAGTCTACATTTCACGTTTTACTAATGTCCCCTTCTTACCTGCTTCGAAATCCAACTAAATAGCTTTCCAAAATCATCTGCACTTTTACAGCAATCGGTGTGGAAGATAAGAAGCTCGTAAATCTTTATAACGGTGGGTTATTGCATCCTAAAATAATTCACAGTGTGCATGAGACACAAGCATATGGTATTTGAAGACAAAAATACTTTGTTGCTGGTCGTGGAATGAACATCAGCTTTCAATCATTTGGTGTGACCGATGAAACTTAAATGTTCATATTTATTTTTATTTGACAACGCTAACAACTGAAGCCGTTACTACTCATCTATACGAATGCAATCTAGTCCATTTAATGAAGCATTTTAAAATTTGTTGTCAATTCAATCACTAGTGAATCAATTTCATCCATCATCTACCTACTCTAAAATGTCCTCTTCAACATTAGCTTGTTCAATACATACATGATACAGTGAAACAGCATGCATCATTGATAATATTCCGAATATAATTTAGGGTCCACACATATATGAAGTTAATTTACACGACTTGGAGACTTTGATTATATAATTCTATTTTATTTTCATTAAATGTTGAATAGTTGAATCAGTTCACAATTATTCAGTTACATTGTGAAATTACTACTGTTATTCTAACTTTGTCTGCCTTGTCTTAAACTAAAATGATTCTAAGAACTTTCCGCTGTGGAGTATTCGGATTTAGCGAAATCATTTGCCTATTGAATGTGATGCACCACGGTATGCACAACTTAGCAGTGTTATTAAAGCAAGAAATTACTCTGTGGTCAACGCTGTCAAAAGTCTTCCCGAATTCGGTGAAGATGAGGTTAACGGTTGACTGAAATTCAAGGCTATGCTTGATGATGTTTCGCAGTTGTACAGTCAGATCCACACATGATTTGTCTTTTTTCAGTCTAAACTGATCCCACTGGCTACATTAATCTGTGACATCTGTGTATCTTACTGTTCTATTAAGAAATGACTTCCAGGTGATTGTTAAAATTGAATGCTGTTCGTAATATCATCTGCTTATAATTGAACTTAATTTTACACTTTCATATTGTAGCAGTGTAAAAATACACAAATCAGACTGCTAGTTATTTTAGGAATTATATAAGAACCATACAATGCTTCATTTTTCTGTAGATGCATACAGGAAAGCATTGGAAGAAGATACTGATTTTCAGCACAATGTTTCTGGTAAGAATGATAACTAAAAGTTATAATAAAACTTTAAACTTCATTCATTTTGAACTGATGTTTTGTGCCTGGTCATCCTTTCAATCTGCAATCACACTTGCTTTCCAACCATGTCAATCGCACTTCTCCATCAAGACATTTTTCAGTGGAAATCCATGAGGATCAATCTGATTGCCGATAGGACGTTTCTTAACAAAGTAGATGGCTCTCCTATTTGTTCTTTCTTTTGATTTGTTACTAAGATTCACTGTTACGACAGATCGCATCCCAGTGATATTCAGGAGATTTTCAGGTTATTTGTCTATTGACTGATGACATCATATTTTCAGCTGATGACAATTTTCGTAGTTTGTATATGTGCTATCATATTGCTTCTTAGTCTTCCACAGAAAACGTATCATATTTGCAATAAGTTATGTATGGCTTAGGTGGTCAACATTTTGCGAACCGTATGAACAATAATTATATCTAGTGAATTTTTATGTGTTCCTTCAGCTAATAAGGTGCTATACAGTTTGATGAAAATGCATATTTCAGAGAAGTGGGAAAATCGAAAAACTCTGGATATCGCACAAAGTAAATTCCGTTATTATTTGATATTATGTAACAAACTGAATATTTCTCTTCTATAATTAGCTGATGTGCGTAAAGTCACAAAAAATTCTCACTTTTACAAAAAATTTACGACAACACATCTGAACGGCGATATTTCCCTTTTAAACAGCACACCCACGAGTGGGAATTTGGACTAAGCGAGAACGAAAACGTAATACATCACTGACTGATATTTTTAAATCAAACCCAGCATGAATTCGTGGCGTTGTAGGAGAAAACGACATCCTGTAGGAGTGTTCTGAGCAATTCATTGGTTCACCTGACAGACCGTTTTTATTTTGAGGCCTCTTGAATTTTCGCGATTTTCTCATCAGCACTGATATTTGTACTTGATACAGAATGACAAGAATGTCTATGCGCAGACGTGCTATCGAAACAATGTAGAGTAGTTTAGAGAATAAGCGATAGTCCGCAAACACGTACATGTTTTCACTTCTTCATATTTTGTCATTAGAATCCCTAAAAAATTGACTACTTACCACCGGCATGTGGGTAAGAGCGCACTTACTTGATGGTCTGATAGCATTTTCTAATAGAGCTTTACGCTTAGTTAGTAAGTTAACTATGGTGTCATTCGGACTGACGTCAGCTGAATCCATATTTAAATTAACTGATTATGATAATGTTTTAAGATATTTGTGCGTTGAAGTTTCTGTAGCGATTTGGTCAAGTTTCGGGGGTGGATTTGCTAGACCACACCCTAACACTCCTTCTTTATCCGGGCATGGGACCGGCTAGAAAACTAGCGAGCTAGTAATCTTGGCGAGGTAAAACCGGAAATGGAAGCGGCGAGTGGGACAGCCAAGGGTGACATGGAGGAGATCGTGTGAAGAGGAGGTGAAACAGTATGGACTAACATGGATGCAGGTACAGCAGAAGACAGAAGCAAGTGGAGACGTGTAGTTGAAGCCCTATGTTCCACTAGGAAACCAAGGGAACAATAATGATAATAATAATGATAATGCTAGATTTATCGGATGACTGGAAATTAAATGACCATGTGATGTATCAATTGCAGGTAAATTTTTTGCGAAGACATCAGGCAATTTGAAAAAATACAAAGGTTGGTTTTCTTACATTTTGAAATTCATCCATCGTAACTTGTAGACTATGCTGAAATATCTCTCTTGGTTTTGTAAATAGTAGTTCGTCTGATGTCCCTAATATGTCTGTTTACAATTCCACTGAAATGTGGTGAAATGTATTCATAGTAAACCATGTCTAAATATCCCTTGTGACAATGAGGTACAGCGGCTGGTTGATTTTTTGACTCAGTTATCGAGTTGTTTGAATATGTGGAAAAGCTGTCTCCACGAATCCGATCACTATGTCTGCTCGAATTCATAGAGTATCAGCATATTCAGAAATGAAACATAACGTCACAATATCCGTCACACTATCGAACTCCAGATAGGTGGATTTCTATCGGAATTTTATCTACTGAGATATCATCCTGATGAGCAATATGGGATGAAAATTATGACAACGAATACTGTTGTTTGTATTTCCTCGCCAACAAGCACAAAGTTGTTTTATTATTATTAAGTGCAAAGTGTGTGTGTGTGCTTGCCAGCATCCATGCCTTATGTACTATGGTTTACTCATAAATAAATCACATGAATATATTCACGCAATGGATTATCAGTGTAACGGTAGAAGACAAGTGGCTTAGGAAAGGAATGCTTACTTGGGATTTGTGATCACCATGCCAACACCACTAGAAATGTAGCATGTCCTTATAAATCCAACTTGTAACATGAGAAACCATTGACACGATTAATCATTCAATAAATTCACAAACGTTTGTATAAACATTCAATATTCTATGCATACGATTATTGTTCTATAATGGACAAAGTCGAGCCAACATTGAAGTTGAACAAAGATGCAGTATAAATGCAGATTACACCTGGTAAATTCACTTGTTTTTACTGATATCAGTAAACTACTCGTAATGTCATGTGGTAATTTGAACATCATCAACAGGATAACCATGAATTGCGAGAGTCGGAAGCCACTGCGTTATTCTAGGATCAATTCCCGCTGAAGAATACACAATGAAACATTTCATGCTTTTTGGTTTTGTGAAATTATAGTTCAAATTGAAATGATGAAGAATTATTTGAGAGAAGCGAATAAGAAAATGAAAACATTCAAAAGTAAGTTGATTCGATAACTTTGTATTCCACACTACTTTCACGAATAATAAACTGCCAGTATGAAAAGTCACTCGTTATTGTGTTTGCAGTCAGTGGTTACGTGCCCTACTTACTTATGAGTAACACATAAATTAACTAGGTTGTATTAGATATCCTTTTCATCATCAGTATAATAACATCTCATAAATATTACGAAGACTAGTTTTGTCAACCACTGAGTCAGCACTCCTTTCGTGAGGATTGGAGTGGGCCTTTTAAAATTAAAATATTCAGTGTGTTGTGAGAAGAAACGTGTTGAGAAATAATCAAATTATTATGAAAGGCTTTTGGATCGTCAATATATTGCATTCAACATGATGATGGGTATGATTTAATGTTTCTTGAATAAATAAATATCATTCAACATTTCGTGTTTTCTTAGCTGAACTTAAAGTGTTGGAAAAGGCAGCAGTCATCGCATCTAATGCATACAGAAAAACTTCAAGTGAGTGAATGTATTCATCAATTTTATTCGTGTACTTTAAGGTGTGGTGAAATCACGAGTAGGACTGATATGATTAACCACTGGATGAATATGGTAATGTTTATTTGTGAAAAGTAGACGTATTTAATTAATCGTCAACATACAGATACCTAGTAAACATAATTTTACACAACTATCCAGTAATTTCCACTTAACTGTACAAATGACGTGAAGCCAAGTTTGACTTGCACTTTGCTTTACATTAAAAAGTAGACAGAAGAGAAGATCAAGCGTCCGTCTTCTCAAAATATTGGTGTAATAGTTATAATGAAGATGGCATTGACTGTAGAAGTGGAATAGTTTACACTGTAGTAGAATATAATTCAATATTCATAACTGGATGACGTTTATAGACAATTTGTCACTCATAATCATATTATATGATTGCGTCATTATTACTTAGCTTATTCGCGAAATGTGGGCAAGGGAACATCCACAAATGGTGAGCGAACAATTTTACCTTACTTAGAATATTCTGAATTTGAAAATCTATTCATCACTAAGCTCCATGAGATTCATCTTGATTGAAAATAATAAAATTTCTACAACACGAAACTTTTGAACTGCATGTTTAACAGAGAATGACATCATAATTGGATAACGGTAACTAGCTTGAAGATGCAAGCAATCAAACATTTGATTGTTAACAAGTAAACATCGAATAAAGGCTGAACAAATATCAACAACATATAACATGACATTGCAAATTGTCAGTGACTCTTTCCTGAAGATCTGTAGTTTGAAGATCATGTGAAGGTAAAAACTAAAGGCCAACCAGACGATAAGTAAGAGTAGAAACTTACTCACATTGACTTTATTTTCATGAGGTATTTCCCTTCAATACCACCACGTGCGTATGAGACTATGAGTTTTATAACGAGTTATTATTTCTTCCAGACACACTGAATGATGCCAAAATCACAGAAGCCTATGAGAAGGCTCGCTCTGAGTTTGCCGACGGCACAGGTAATTTTACATTGTCTTTTAAAGTCGATCACATTTGATGTTATGCACTTCTGAGGATGAACACATTTCACAGTGAATTTCGTTTTCGTAAGAATCAAAAGTAGCCTGTGTGGCTAATGACGTTTATATTATCAAGTTATCGTATTTGCTTATGCTAAATTAGGCTATATCATTGATAAAATTGGCAGTGATACTTGTCACACTAATATTAGAATCTGCAAATTGCTGGACAGTTGCTGACAGTTAAGTCTGAAATATCTAAGGAGAAAAGCGTCAGAGTTACTGCTCGTGTGGTGATTTTTTTTAAAGTATTAAATACGCAAAATATTCCCGATAAAGCTTTAGTGGCTTCATTAAAGGATCATGGAATAAAGGCATGTTGTTGAGTTCCGAATATCAGTTGCACTCAAACTACTTGACAAGATCGAGTTTACTGAGATTCGAGCTTTGTTTCATATTGTCGCAGCATGACACTGAAAATGCTACTGATACATCACTAACAATCTATTCACTGTTTCAGAGAAACTAAAGGAGAAAATAAAACAACTGGAAATGTGGAGGATTGAATTTTTAAAGTGTAAGTTGAAATGTAAAAATAATTTAGAACTGCCTAGTTCAAACTCCAGAGAATAGAATAAACTGGCTCCTGGTAGAAATGAAAGAAGACGCCGAGCAGTCTTATTGAAGTAAGTTTCTTCTTAGATTCTGACAGTTCTTTAAATTTCTAACTATCTGCACAAGTGAATATGAACTTGAAGTTGGCATATGCCGTTAACTTAAATCAGCTAGATGATTCCTTGAGAAACAAATTGCACTTAACTTGTCTTCATTCGTATTTCCAAATCACTAATCATGATTGATCTTCTGGCTGACCCGTCACTTGATAACTTTCGGTGGCTTTATAAAATATCAGGTTTGTAACAACTGCGGGAACATCGTAAATTCAAATGGTTTGCATAGCTGATTTCGTGTAAGGGGAGCTGGAACTTGGAATCAAACCGATAATGTACACACCTGTCCTGTGTTTTAATCATCACTGAAAGTACTGCGTGTAGATTAGTGTAACCGTTGTTCGGATGAAAACTGTCGACTATAATTTCTTCTATACAAGATGCGTGTCTATTTCCAACTCACTAGTACTTTGCTTCTGATTTTATTTTGTTTCGGCTGAAGGAAAGGGAATTGGATTTCAAGGGAATTCGAGCAATATTGGTGAAGGAAATACATCGTTTGCGTATCTCTTTTTTGTTTTATTAAATATAACGTCTTTCTCCGTATGATCTTGTTTCAGTTGGTGTTTTCTGTCTTTCTAGTAGAGTGACTTATGTGTGAATGAAGTAACTAACTGCAACAAATAAGCTAACCACTTGTGTAAAACTCGTGGATTATTGTTTTGACTGACGAATTGTATTAGGTAGGTGAGATAAAATATCAATGAGGAGAAGTGTTATTATTTGCCGAAGACTACAAAGCACGTATAGGCACAAAGAAATCCAATCACATCAATATTTTCAAGTTATTTGTTACCGACATTCTTCATGAAATACTATACCGAAGGTGACCTGTGAAGATCTAGCCATGTGGAGGTTGATAGCACATGGGTTAGATGTCTACTGGCTATTTAACTAACAACAGTGTACGATATAACATAATATACAATATAAATTCTCAAACACACTATGAGTCATTCGAATGCGGAAATTCGTCATCGATGTTATGAAGACACATCATAGTCTGAGAATGACGAAATTAATATAATAATTAATAATAATTACTATTTTAATATACCATGTAAATAAGTCAAAATTATGTTTTGAGAGATCTTATTCCCACAATATCAGAATGTGTTGAAAATGACATTGAGTATCAAAAAGTTATTCAAATCTCTCAGATGTTTCATGTAGAAAAGAGATTAACCTGAATGTTGTGTACACAGAAATACAGTCGAATTAAGGCAAAACAGTGACATGCAGACTCTGTTAAAAACACGCTTAATGATGTAAAAAGTGTCGTAGATCTGCCCACTATATCACACCCGAGTTGCATAGATGTCGCCTCCTGCAAAAGCGACATATGTAATCGACAACTAGCTGGTGGGCACTTGGATGTCTTAATAGGATTTTCAATCGGGAAACACGATTCTCGTTTCTGTCAGTCAAACTCTCAATACACTTTGACAGAATGATTCTTCTAAAAATCGTTCATGTCACAGGGCATGCTTCAACGAGTTCACACTTGTCTGTCTGACTGTTTGTCTCTCTATCTATCTTTGTGTGTGCGTGTGTGTCTATTTATGTCAGTGGTATGATGAATCTTCTGAATGAATAAATGGATGAATAAAGTGATAATCGGATGATGATTGCACGCATATGTGAATACGTCAATGTTCACATGTGTTCGTAGTCAAGTGATTGTTAAGTGCATGCTTTTCATCATTATCAAATTGCTCATGTAGTAATCTGTGAGAGACTGAGGATAGAGAAAGTGAGCAAGATACAGAGAATATATAGAAAAAGATTCCCATTTAGACATTTAGAAAACAGAAGGACTAAGCGAAGATATACTTACTTTACAATTAGATTTCATAACAACAACAGTGTGAAGACACCAAGAATAGTGGATAGATGTGGTGACAGCAGAAATTGACGATTCATCGTTGACTGAGATTCAGACATCACGAATTTGTAGGAGTACTGTACTACTATAAACGAAGAATAAATACAACAGACAAAAGAGTCTACCTCTTCTGTAGTGAATACTGAAGACTAGTTCGCATAATAGGATGTGGAGAATACAGAAAGAGTGAGATAGACAGAGAACGAGACAGTGAGTGGTCCATTTGTGGGTGGAAATTTGGTGAGAGTGGGTGAATGTGATTCAGTCGCTATTTGCATGTAATTCCATATTAATAATTTAATAATTCCCATTGTAGCATTAAGGACACAATATTCAGCGAAGAGACTCTTTTCAACAACGAATTTATTATCAAACTGTACAATCATATATATATATATATATATATGTTTTTTAAGAAATTATATCCGGTGAGGGAATTAGGTCAAAGGTAGAATACAAGATATAATAATAATAGTAGTATGAAATACAGTTAAAATATTTGTGATTATAATCATGGTTTAATGTCATGTGGCAAAATAAATAATGTCATATATAGAGTAATACATTAGGTGTACAGAATTTGGAAAGGTATAAATAATCATAAGATTAGTAGACGAATATAATATGTTACATCACATGGTGTGAAATTTGATAAGATAGAATTATAAAATAAAAAATATAAAAATTTCCAAATATAAAATTTACAGCTCGATAATAAATTCGATGAAAAGAGTCTCTTCGCTGAGTATTGTGTTCCTAATTCCATATTAGTTTGTTTATTAGATGCATCACACAATGAAACAGTATTATTTACTGGATGATGTTTCGAACAAAATTTATTGTTTGTGTTTGTGCGCGTGTTTGTTTAGCTTGTTAGAGGAATATTCTCTCTACAACTTGTGAACTTCAAATGATGATGAAGTGAAAGTTTTCCCATCAAATTGAGACTACTGAGGATATAATTTACCTGAAAGCCTATTGAGAGGTAATCATGAGAGGAATAGTGTGTGTTCATGCATGCCTGTGTAATTAACATGTGTGAGCCTCGTGTTTTCGTTTTAAGAGAGAGGGACAAAATGGAGTTAGAGATGGATAGACAAACACAGTCAGAGAGAATAGTGTGTGTGAGTTTGTTAGTGATAGAGGGAGAGAATTGTGATAGTTTTTCGCACTGTTATATACTACGCTAAGCCTCTCCTAGAGAGCAGCCCAGGTTGATATGGTACACCGTCAACAACAAAACACACCCATGTTTTCATACATTCATTTTCCTGTTAATAATAACTGGCTTTTTGTGGCGATGTAATTTCGGAACACTGCCTTGCACTATCTATCCTACATCTGCCTCCTACCTTTCTACTCTGATGAATCAATTAATATAAGAAAAAATCCCCATTTAGACATTTAGAAAGCAGGAGGATTAAGCGAAGAAATATTTAGTTTTCAATTAGATCCTCATCTCTGGCTCACTAATATATATCCATAGCATTTTACCAATCAAGAAGTAATATGTTTGTTAACAATAATTAGTCAGTGTCAACATGTCAATAGGTTTCTCTAGAAGAGAAACCTAATGACCTGTAGGCGAATTGCCTAGCATTTTACTATCCCAAATGCGCCTCCTACCTTTCTACTGGGATGAATCAATCAACTTCAGAATGATGCTTATTCATCCATCGTCACCCCATGACATATGATGATGATGTATGCAGTATGTGAGTAAAGTGAGACATAAAGAGAGAAAGAAAGGTGATAATGTTCGAGGATTGTGCATAAGCGAATGTGTCTGTGAAGATGTTCAGAGTTTCATTCGACTAAATGAATGTGATAATATAATTTAGTTTCTTAGTAGTGTACTTTTGATGATACAGATTCATGCATAGGAGTGTTTTGAATTTTCGCTAGCTATCGAGTCAATTTTCTGCTGTCTTACTCTGCTTTTCTGGATTAAGGACCGATTTGTAAACTAATCATTGAAGAAAAAACTCAATCCTTTACACCTCTGTCAACTCAGTGCTTCTTTATACTTCAGAAAATTGGCGCGTCATGTGGTACTGATATTTATCAAAACGGCAGTTGCTTTTGATCACTGCTCATTGAGACATCTGTTGAGAACGCACACTAAACAAAAGAAGTTTGATATATAAGATTCGATAATAAATCAGTCTCCTGTCAATTAGCGATATATCCCTTGCCATGCTTCGCGACGGCTGACTTTTGTTTAATACTTCTTTACTTATTGTTCATGCTCTTATCCGGTCATTCTTTCGTTCATCATTTCTTCAGCCAGGTGTTATGTGATTTAGCTATTAACTTCTGTCACTCCACACCAAAAAGGTTTATTTTAATTACCACACAATGATGCATAATTAACAACTGTATTTGTGTTGTGAAATCTGGATCATTTTCGAATAATTAATAAACAATTATCTGATAAGGAAACCTCGCCTAGTTTTCTAGCTTGCTAGTTTTTTATACGTCACTTCCTTTACTTATTTGGGCTTGCACAGCGCACTGACTCGGTAGGCTGCACTAGATGAAATTAATTTTCCTGGAGGTCCTGACATGTCAGAAAGATTTTTAGGGTAGTGGTTAGATTAAAAGCAATCGTCACCAAAGTCTTAACATTTTTACACTATGCTATAGACAAAGTTGTACTGCTGGGGAATAAGAGGGAGTTCACAACGCATACTCTAATAACTGAAATATAAAACAAATGACTTCAATTCTCGAACAGTGTGAAATTAAACTACATAATAATCCAATCAGTCAAAAAGACAGACAGCTTTTACAATGATTAAAGTGAATATTTATCGGAATAATCTCTCAGAGTACAGCAGCAAATAAATCATGCCACTTTTCATGCGGTATTGATGCAGCACTGGAACAGATAAATATGAGAATTCGAAGCATTGATACACGTCCATCAATTTATAAATTGGAAGGCTCAAATTTAAGTGGATGTTTATCAGTTTATTACTGAGTAAAATGAACTGTAATCAAAGTAAAGAACTGAA